TTGCAGGAGGTGTTATGTCATTTGCTTGTTTGATTTTAAATGTCTGATAGTTATCCATCCTCATTATTGCGAACACCAGTGGAATTCCCATAGTAAAAGAAGAAAACCTCATACTTTCATGTTTGCTCATTGTTCCTAAAACCACTGCCGTGAAATATTGCTGAGGAGCGATGCACCCTCATGAGTAAAGGGGTAATAAGAGACTTGAAAGGTCAGATCGTCTGTCTTGGTGTGGTTTTAATGGAAAGCATGGCCACTTGCCAAGGTCTGTGTGTCTCAAGGACCCCAGGTTAAGTAATGCCAAGACTGCAGTTAATAACAAAGGCCTTCCAATAGAGTTTGCAAAGCTCGCATCATTACATGAAAATGGCTGCAAGCACTTTGATTAGTTTTAAAACTAAGAAAAGCAGCAGAGCCATGCTGAGATCTGGCATTTGAAAAGAACACTGTGACAAGAATAAAATGCTTGTGCTCTAATGAAACCTTTTCAATGAAAATCTGGAGTATTTTCATCTCCTGGAGAGGCTTAAAAGACAAACATTGTGTTTCTACCCTCTCTGATAATATATTTTATATTTGAAATATGTTAGTTATTATATTTAATTATTTAAATAATTTTTTTCTTTTTTATTATTTTATAATAATGTAAAACATATGCCCATTTTAAACATTCCATAGAATGGTTATTAATTATGTGCAATGACTGCTCGTTGACTCAAATATCTAATCGCTAGGTAACAACTCAATGCACTGATGCATGTAGGTATGGTCCAGATGACCCAGCATCAGAATGGGGGAAGATATGTGATTTAAGTGACTTTGAGTGTTACATAGTTGTTGGTGCCAGACAGACTGGCCTGAAACTGCTGTTCCACTGGGACTTACCTGCAAGACAAAAAAGACAAAACATCCAGTTAGTGGCAGTTTGCTGGGCAAAATGCCATGTTGATGCCTGAGGTCACAGGAGACTGGCTTCAGGCATATAGGAAGTCAAGAGTAAATCAAATAACAACTTATTACAACCAAGGTATGCAGAAGAGCATTTCTGAATGCTAAATATGTCCAAACCTGTTAGCTTAGCACAGGAAATTCTCATAGGCTCGCCAAAGTTGGACAATAGAAGTTTGGAAAAATGTTGCCTGGTCTAATGAGTGTCAATTTATGCTGCAATA